TAATTAAGAAATGTAGACTGACATGAATATGTAATATACACATTGCTCCGCAGATGCCTTTTTTGTCCAACAGGCTGGTACAGACTTTAATTAGGAAGACATCCATTTTCATACAAAGGTAACCAAGAGTGACAGGAAATAGGAAAGCTGCATCATTTATCTTCTGTGAACTTAAAAAAAAAATCAGTTAATTGCTTTTTTAGGAAGCTATTTTGTGTGAAACATGGTGCTTTATCTTTTTGCTCTTACTTGTGGTATAAATGGTGTTTTTTAAATGCCTGTCATGAAAATGCTATGATTAATCAATGATTTAATTGCTTATTTTAACTAATAAAATTCTGATCAACCAAAAATGGTTACTGTGTTCTTCTGGATAAATTATCAACAACTATTAAAATTCTAAAGATAAAGTCCATTAATTTATATTCAAATTCAGTTGTCTCTTTCCTTACCAATGACTAAGATAAATCAAGTCAAAGGTTTCCTTTCCTTCCTTCACTTTTCAAATGCATTCTATTCCCAGCCATCAGATACTCTGTAAGAGCAGATTCAAATTATTGCTATTTATTAAATTAACAGCAAACAGAAACTAAAATGTGCATGGCTTGGAATACTTCTACCAAAACTATAACATGCCAAACAAACCAATTTCATAGCCTGTGAGACCTGTATTTTCCCTCAATGGAATTGCACAGAGGCTTTATTAATGTACTGAGTTATTTTTTACCTCTATCACCTAGCTTATAAAGTATATTTTTAATTATAATTTGTTACTTCAATTTAAAAAATAAAACATTGTATATGATTTGGAGGTATATGTTCACACCTTTCAAATGTACCTCCAAAGAAGAGATACAGAGGGTCAACAGGCACATGAAAAATGTTCATTATCACTCACCACCAGTGAAATGCATATTAAAATAAGGAGATATCACCTCACACCCATGAAAATACACCATACCAAAAAGACCAGAAACAATCACTCATGAAGATATGGAGGAAAAGAACCTTCATACACAATTGATTAGAATTTAGACCATTCCAGGCACTATGGAGGTTTCTCATAATATCAAAAATAGATCTGCCATATGAGCAAACAATTCCATTCCCAGCTATCTTTCTGAAAAATACAAAAACACTAATTCAAAGAGATATATGAACTTCTAGGTTACAACAACCAAAGAAACAACCTAAGTGCCCAATGACAGATGAACGGAGAAACACGTGGTTAATATACACAATGGAATACTATTCAACTATGAAAAAGATGAACCTTGCCATTTGTGACTGACTGCAGAAATAATTAAATTCCACAGTTTGAAGTTAATATAAAGCACTTTTTGAAATCTAAAGTTATGTAAATAACATGTTATCTGCCAAAGACATACACTGGTGAAGATAATGATACTTATACTTCAAGACCTCTTGAGCAGGGGCTCTTCCAAAGCCCAAGTAGGAGTCATAGAAAGGTGTTAAAAAATTGTACAATTTTGTAAAAATTATAAGTGTGCAATATTTTTCTATTCTTTTTGCATGAAAAGGCACTCCAAGACAGCACAAAGCTTAAGTTCCACAAAATCTGTATCTGCCCCACTAGGTTATTAGTTACCAATGTCTGGAGCCTGAATTACAAGAGCAAAACATTAATTTTATTTTTATGTGTGAAACAAAAAAGTAATTTAGTTCAATTATTTTAGGATTTAGTGTGCCCTGCCCTAGAACCCAATGTTCTAGAATGCCTGCATTCTTCATTTGCTAAGTCCCTTGTCTCTCACCTAACAGTATCCATCCTAGCAAGTGGTACTCCAGAGAAGGCTCACTTAATGAGTAGTGGCTTCAAGAATAAAAGACTCAGCTATAACAACAAAAATATGTTTTTCATTAAACACAAAACCAAGCTGGGAAAAACCAGCCAAGAGGCAGGTGTATCAGTTGTGAAATCCCCTTGAGGTCTTTAACTTCCACATCAAATTGCACTGAATTTTTCTATACTAATTACCTATTATTGAAGACTAAAGAATTATAACAAATAATTTGCCATGGCAGCAGATAGAGTGCAGATGTTTCAAGGAAAGAATGAGGAATATGAAGTGTAAAATCAGGCAAAAGAAATTCACAAATTCTCAATTTTTTAAAATAGTAAAGAATGTTTTTTCTACTACAAGGATTATGATGGTGAAGGAATTTTCCTAGGGCTGGAAGGCCAATTTTAAATTTAGTTAGGAATCTCTGAGAGCAATTGCAAATGAAAAGCATAGTGCTGGAGTCTAATTTATTCAATTCATGTAAATTTCTTGGAGGCAGAGAACACATGTTAGATTTTTAAAAAAATGTTTCACATCACATTATACCTAGTCATTGATTTGTTTTTCTTATAAGGAATGTACCTACACAACCCCATACAGCTATATTAGTACCTCCGTTGTCTATCTGTCATTTTTACCTCACACTTTCTTTTAGTCTGCAAATTCTTCACAGTCCTAGCCTGCTCTAGAACTAGCATCCTGAAAAAGTAGAGTCAAGAAATGTAAGTTACCTTCAGGTCATCTCCTCTCTCAATTTTCTTAAATTACACATTCCCTACCTTACTGGAAGCCAATGCCACTACTATTAAAGGGACATTTTCATAGAGGTGACATATGTGTAAAATAAAGCAGTCATTACTATCTTTAAAATTGCTTGACACATTGAATTGTTTTACCCCTTCCAAAAAATAAAAGCAAATATTCTCTCAAAAGTAAAATAAGATTAGTGAACAAAATTCTTCAGTTTTGAACCTGTGACTGCATTTATAGGAAAGCTCTATAAATACAAAAGGGTTGTTCTTAATCTCATGGAGCAATATGAAAAACAAAACCAAAAAACCCTTTGAGTTTGAAAAATAGGAAATACCTTGAAAGAAACCATCCTGATGCTAAGATTCATTTTCTTGCTGTGATAGTGGACTTAAACAGTGTCACAAGTTTCAAATTACCATATTTTCCATAATATGCAAGAGCTTTTGCTAAAGTTAGGAATGCATATCTCCCCTGACCAAAAAGCATCCACCAATTATAACTTTATTCTACAAACATTTCATGCCTCTTTTTTATCCATGCATGATTGACCTCTGTGAAGCTTTCAGTATAGAATGATAGCAAGAGAGCAGGCAGATCCATTCAATCTCATTACATGTTAGAGAAGTGAAACACCTCCTATATAAAAGCTCTTACTTCTCTGGGTCTGACTCTCCATCTCAGGCATTTCCCTCTTTCTGTGATTAGCAAACACTAGTACAATATGTCATTCCCACTCTGGGGTCCTGCAAGGGCATCCTGAAAGAGACCACGCTACTGATGACCCAAAAGCAGAATGAAAACTGCAAGTTACCTGCATAAGGCTGTATTGGTTATCAAAAATATTCATCCTTTCCTTTTAACCAGGGCTTTATGGATTCATTAAGTTTCAAAATAAATATCTAATAAATGTGGAGTTTTTTGGTAAAACATAAAAATTACATTAACAAGTGGGATTAAAATGATAAAGGAATTCCTGGTGGTACAAAAAATTAGTCATCTCTGTTCAAAGATAATCCATAATTTATTTTCGCCAGTACAGGTCATTTAATGACGATGACAAAAACCGAAGAGTTAAATGAGCGCAGTTTTGTAAGGTGGTATCTATGTGTGCTCCCTACAAACTTTTAAAAACATAAATGCCTGCAGAAGTTACCTTTTGCTTCTATTAATTCCCAATGAACACTTTCAGGGATAAACAAATCAAAAGAAGTGACTGTCACTTAATTTTCTCACTAGAAACCATACAAACATCTCAGAGTGAACAAATAGTCTGCTCTAAGGGTCATATGTCATCTCCTAATCAGTGCACAGTGATTTCTGAGATGATAGCGCAGAAATGTTAAGGTTTAGTCTTGTCGAGACCTAAGAAGAAATGTCAAATCACTTGTTTCATTTTTTTAATTAAATCAAATAAGATAAAGTATATTTTAGCCACATTAATTATTATCCAATCTTTAAAGAAGAATATGTAAAAAAAAAGTTCTATGTACTATGATGTTGCAGAACTTAATTTTTTAAGTTAGTATCACAGCAAAACAAAAACTGCGCAGTCATATTTCTTCTTCATGTGCTCTAGACAACTGTCATCAATTTGGACTATAGTATGAGAGAGGCTTCTCTAAAACAAAGCATCATCTTCCATCCAGATTTATTGTTCCATTGACTTGTCATGGCCTCTTTGCTATCACTGTGATTATGTGATTTTCTTTGCTACAATCCTAATATTCTATACATCTAACCTATATAACTTAGAATGCTATGAAAAAATATTTTAGAATAAAATAAAAATGCTAATCAGAAGCCTCTGAATTAAAGAGACTTCACTCTTTTCAGAGACCCTAAGAGCATTTTTATAGCACAAGAAGAGTTCATAGCTGAAAAAAAAAGAAACTGAATATCAAGTATTATAATATAGATAAACATCTGATACATTTGAATATTCAACATATTCAATATAGAATCTTTTACACCACTATGAGTCATTATGAAGTTTACTTTGTGATGTTTGTCCTGGAACATTTCAAAACTGACAGAAATGTTGAGTTTTTGAGCTCTTTCCAAAAATGAACCTCTTTATACTAAAAATTAGTTTTTAAAGTAATTTCATTTCCAATATATACTATCTCCATCAATACTGACTTGTCCACAAAAAAAAAATCTCTGAAATGTGTTGTACTTAAGAAGACATTCCTTCCTGAACTCACATAGACACGCATACACAAAGGAATTTGTTGGCACTTAAAAATTTCTGATTATAATCAATTTGAGATTCTAAGACATCATTATCTATGTGGACTTCCGCCTTTAGTACTGCTATAACTCCCACCACATGAAACAAGTTACACAGTGATATAAGAAACATGAGAACTGAATTTACATCTGTCAGGTAGTCACTTAGTACTACTCAGATGCATGTAAGTGGTTAAAAAAAAAAAGACTCACCTCTCCTTGTTTGGGGATGCTAAACTTGGAAAGCTTGGCTTTGGCTCTGGCGGACTCTGGCTTGGTGGCTGGGACTCCCCTGTACGACGTGCAGTGCACGCTGGTTTCCGTGGATGACTTAAGCTTCGGAGACTCATCAGGAGCCTGATCTTGGCCATCCATCGGCCGCACATAGGCAGTTGGTTTCTGCTGGACCAGGCTGGGTTTTGAAGCCAGGGATGGAGGAAAGTTTTGAACACAGTGTCCACCACCACTGTGCTTGGCTGCCATAGCAGGAGGTCTTTCCTGGGTCTGAAGACCCACCTCTACATTGCACACTTGTTTGGCCCGTGGTTGCTGTCTGCCAACTCCATCTCCAAGCAAGGTCCTGAGAGAGCCCTGTTGTGCTGAGTTGGAAGAAGAAGCAGAAGCAGAAGAGGAGGAGGAAGAAGAAGAAAAAGAGGAAGAGGAAGATGAGGATGAGGGGCTGGACACACAGTGATTTGATTTTTTATTATGGTTCTTTGGGTTAGAAGGTTTGTGCAAATCAAGGAACTTGTGTCCATGCTTACTTGCTCTCTGTTGGCCATCGGATGGTGGATGCCCAGCCTTCTGCCAGCCCATGGTTCCCCTCTTACTCTGCTGCACGGGGATAGATGCTGGTGTGGAAGATGCAGTGCTACAGACAGATGAGGGCTGGGTCTGGGCTCTTGAATCTGCAACAAAATGTTCATCGATCTTGTTCACAGAAGCCTGAGGAAGGCCAGGTTTGGGAACGCCAACAAGGTGACTCTGATTAGATCTATCAGTCAGAAAGTCTTTCATTTCATCGTAATTGCCTAACGTATTCTGAATCCGGTTGGAGAGCTCATCCCCCTTGTTTGTCTGGAGAGAGAAAAATACATCTACATTATTGTTAGAAACAACAGAAACATGGCAAGTAAGGGAGAGGTGCCCTCATCAATCACAAAACTAGGGATGCCAAAGTCAGTATGAGAACTGAAACCAAATTGGCATCATATCTGAAGATGTCCATCAGGACTCTGCATCACCCCAGAACCAGAAAGCTGTTCATTGTCTTACAGTACATAAAAGGACTCTATCCCTGGCACTAGATTGTAGCTAAGGAAATCAGAATATTTACTGCTGCTAAAACTTCATGAAATAGTCCAGATTTTCTTCCAGGATTAGATTTTTTTTTTTTCTGCTAGCCCCACTGGAAGCTTTTTTTAAAATTCATTTGATTCAAACTGTTATGATTCTAATTTCTAAATACGTAATTATTCTTTTCAGAAACCCAGAGTGACGGGCAAAATAGTCACAGGGAAGTTTAAAATGAACATGGGGCAAAGCTACATAAGAAGGAGCCTAAGATATTAGGTAAATCTTGAAAGATATTTCATTTTGCAAGAGAAATTATTTTTGGCCTTTGGAAATAAGAGACAGTCCAACAATTCTTTTATTGGATCTAACAGGTATCCTGACCCTAGTATGATCCATGTGTGCCAAGTATGTAACTCAACCTCTTTTTAACAGTGTTTGTTTCCTAATAAATATCTTAGAAAGAAACCAAGTGTTATTGACTTTGAAAATCAATGCAGACATGGTCTATATTATTGATAAAAATCACTGCAAGCAGATCTCAATATTAAACAAAAGTTACATTTTAATGAGGAAACAGTCAATAAAGATGTGCATTAGACACCAAGATTTGTGGGGGGAGGACCCCATTCTTGGTGGCTGAGTTGAACAGGCAGAAAGCTGAGGTTTGGCTGTCAGTTTTTCCAGTCAAGACTGCCCTCACAGTCCCAAGTAGGCATGAGGGGAGGAGATGAACTGAAAACCGTCTACCTTGTAGGGTTCACTGAAGAGGGAGTAACTCGAATTAAAGGTTGCATCATCCTGTTGAGTTTCCTGATTTCTTCTTTCCCGTTCTTTCCTCCGTAACACATTTCTATCTGGTTCATAGACACTGCATCGGGAGAAAGAAAAGAGAACAACCACACACGAAAAAATTAAAGACTAAAGCTCATTCTAACAGCCGCCTAAGTGCAGAAGTCTGGTTCATGGACAAATGGTGATGATAAGAACATGGATCAGATAAAGGCAGCCTAATCAAGCTGGAGGAGCTCAGCTGTCTCATAATTACATTCTTCAGGAGGAAAAATATATTTGATACAAGTTCCAACCAGTACTAGACCTCTCTGCCTGGTAAGTGAAAAAGGAAATATCTAAACAACTCTGACAAGAGAAGACAGAAATTAATCTTAAGGCAGACACTAATTACAGTGATGTGTAAATAGAAATTATGAGTGTATTTCCTCTTATGACACAGCCTCAATGTTCTATGTGAATGTTCCCATTTTCTTTCTTTCCTTTTGCATGCTTGTGTTTCTGTAGTGATTCTTTCATTAACTAGCTCCCTAAAGAGCTGTTAAAACTCTATGCTGCTGTGGTTTTCACAGTTATGAGCCTTCTTCTGATCTCTGTTAATCAGTCAAGTCGTCAAACTACTACTGAATCAATTCTTCCTTCTGATATATTTGACACTATCACTCCTTCTAACTATGAAAAATGTGCTAGGCGGAAACAGTGCAGGCAACGAAGGGAGAGAACGGAAATTGAATTATAGTGTGTCATCAAGGAACTCAGTCTTTTTCTAAAGAAAATTAATATCTATTCTCCCGAAATACAATTATGAAGTGACCAGGCACCTAATAACTAGGACTGAGTAAGAAACAGTAGTCCTTCCCCCTAATTAGGAGAAAATAAAAGAACATATTCAATGAATAATAAGGAAGTGTCCTGTGTAGTGAAGGAAAAAAAAATGCTTGTTTTTTCAACTCACTACATAAAGAAATCTAGCCTCAGTGTAGACAACAGAATTAATACCATAACTGTAAGGAGCTGGTGTGTCCCTCAAAATAAACACTGCCTTCATTTCCTAGCTGAAGCATTTAATTCGAGTGACCTTGTCATCATTTTGCTTTGAGCTAACACTTGGTCTAATGGACACAGAGCTGAGGAGAGAGCCAGGACAATCACCTGCTAACCATAATTCTCTCCTCACCACCAGCCAAGTGCTACTGGAAAAGTCACACATCTCTGCAACCCAGTATCTTCATTGTAAAACAGGGATGCTTCATGGTGTTAAAAAGTTTAAACACAAAGATAATCTATAAACAGACTTTGAAATAGCTTTAGGTGCCCAAAATCCAATGTATTGCTATTAAGATGTTGCTAATAAAAAAATCTAGTTAAAAGAAACTCATGAAAACAATGAGTTTTGTTTTTTTATTTTTCAGCTGACCTGCTATCTTGAGTAAAAGAGATTATTTGTGTCATGTTGCTGTAGAAGGCACAAATAAAATAATCATAAAATAAATATTGCTTATCTCCCTAGTTATACTCTTGTGGCCAGAATATATTTTGAATTTCACTAAGAGGGGAAGCTAAACACGCTTCCGGCAAGGCTGTGAGTGCACCTAAGGCATTTCATTTAAATTTAAGATTAGGAAATGTTAAAATACCCAGAACATGTAGGCTATTAGCATTTTAATTCATTCTTAGTACATTACCTGCAGTTATTAGATTTGGGAGTCTAACCAGTGACCTTCATAGACAGAAAGTCTGAAGCCACAGTTTTACCACCTGAGAGGCTCACTGTTCCAACATCACAACCATTAAGAATTCTCTGGAGTGGCTGTGGTTACAGTAACCAGCATCATGGAGGCATGAGAAGCAAATGGCACTTATTCCCAGAACCAGGCTTCAAGTTCAAAGGAGAGGACATGATAGTTCACCCCTGCTTATGGACATTTGCAGTATGCTATCCTAGCTTTCATGAACATTCCATGGGCTTCAAATAGAGATTTCTCTGAGGATACAAGGCTCATGCTGTGGACAGGCATGGAGTAGGCTTTAACCAAGTAAAGAATTCCAGTTTTACTATGAACTTTCTAACTTCTGGAACAATACCAGTATCTCAATCATAAGAATAAGCATGTGTTGCATGCGCTGTACTTTTACCCTCTCTAGCACATTCTGCCATCTGTTAGCACCAAACACAGAAATACATGCAAAGAGACTTCCACAGACATGCTGCCCCAGCCAGGTCAATCAACCCAACACACAGTGGTATGATCAACAAAAGAGGCCTTATGTAACATGGAGCAGGTAGGTGGTCATTTAGGATGATTTCTGGGCTTCTGAGAAGGTCCCCATGCCCAAAATAATACCTCCTGCATCTGCTGGCTGACGACTGAAATTCCACAACTAGGGAGTCATTCCTCTGGTTTAAGATGTCTTCACCCCTGTAAGAAATGTAGACACCACAGAAGGGAAAACACTTTAAACCTCATCAATTCTTGGTATCTTAGCATGCATGAGTTTGTCAGCATTTTCCCCGAAGATCCAGGGGCAAAGGTACAGGGATATCAAGTTCGAAAAGGGGTCCTAATAGGAGGCATGATGCAAAAGGGAGAAACAATGTGGAGTGCAGCTATGAAATTTTCAAACTATTTTGTAATGCAGTTTAGATGTTTAAGACAAAGGCATTAGTATAAAAGCCAAGATCAACTAAGCAGATCTCAGTCTCACTACACTTCCAGGGGAAGGGAGTAAGTAAGAGTCACTTCCTAATTTGAGAACATTGAAGACAGAGGAATTGATACTCCTCTTTAACCAAACCTGCCTCATTCCCAACTCCTTTAAGCTTAAGATAACCAAAAGCATTCCTAGATGCAGACCACTGTCAGTTAAAGTTCTCTAATGAGGTTTTGTCTCCATTCCCAGCCTATGGCTTCTAACACTAAGAAGGATTGAGCATCCTCAGAACCCTCCACATAATCTACTAACAGACATGCACAGCTATCTTTATGGTACTGCCAAAATGCTTGCACCTTGCAATATGTGCACACGATCAGAAAAAACCAGATGACCAAAATGATAATCATCCTCCTCCAGAAGACAGCAAAGGAATCCAGAAAGAAAGGCAATACATCTTGGATTCCTTCCCTTTGGTTTCTCTTTTCCTCCTTAGTTGGGCAGGTTTGTAGAGTCCACTGAGTATTCAGTTCTTCCTAATAGTAACTCACCCACCTCTTATCCTTGTCCTGTCCAGAACCCAGCATATCATGTCAGGCCTAGGAGGGGAAAATGGCATCTGCTTAAAGCAAATGTCACTGTAAGAGAAAGTCTAAACTTGCCATTTCCATCTCTCCCTAAGCATCTGAACTATTATCTCATCTACAAACAGAAATTTTTTCATTCAAAAAGACAGTCTCTACTCCACAGTGAGTTCACCATTCCGCTAGCTATAAGTGAAATGTGTGCAGGTACCCACAATTCTAAGAGTGCCTTTCTCTTGATCTCTTACCATTAAGACTTGACTCTTTTTTCCTCCTCTGCCATTCAAACAATATGAGGACCAACCATATCATTTGCTTTAGAAGCAAAGGATCCTTACCCTGGCATCCTGCAAGTCAGGTCAGCTTCCCAAAGTCTGGCTAACTAAAATTGTAGTGAATTCAGATTCCTGGTCTCCTAAAATGAATTAAATTCAGTAAGAGCCTCCTGTCACAAGCTATATTTCTTTGTTACTAGCAGATGGTAAAATCTCTATCATCTGTGAAGTTTTTCCTTATTTCGTGAAAATTACAAGAATCACACTCCTTAAATGTATGTCACCAAATGTATTTATTTAGTTTGCAGAAAGTAGACAGCCAACTGCTACAATATATTATTTATTGTATATGCATAACATTCCCAGAAAATGAAATTTCTTAATCAACTCCTTTTTAAAAAAACATTTTGAAGAAAAAACCCAGCAAGTGAAAAACAGAAAGAAAACATTTCTGATCAATTCCTATTTACTTGTTTTTGATCTATAAATTGAGGTATCTTGTAGAACTCAGACCAATTCAATTGTGCTGGGTATGCATGAATAGATGTCTAAACATGAAATTATCATTCCCACAATTAATTTCATCCTTGATGATAGGGTAACAGCAGGAAACTAAATAATAGTAAACCTTTGAACCTCATGGCTTCTTCCTTCTACTAAGCTCAAAAGATTTCACATATATGTCCCTTAATTATCTTTACAATTTTTCAAAAAGACAAGTCTGGTGGATATTATCTCTAGGTTAACTTTTTAAAGATCCAAGGAACTTAGTTTTTGAGTTTGATCATTAAAACATCATAAAGGGCCTCCCTGGTGGTGCAAGGAGTTAAGACACAAAACTATGAAGCTATCCCCAGCCACTGCAGCATGAGTACAATATTCAGCCAGGGAGGTGACTGACAAGGTGCAACAGACCTCTCCTGACTCACCCACTTCTCCCCTTAGCAGTGTACTTCAGTAGTTGTGCCTGTTCTGCTCCCCACTCTGTCTCTGGTGAATCCTCTCACCACCACCTCCCCCCACCAACCCCCCCCCCACACACCTCTGGCCTATACCACAGTTCTTGTATGCATAAATAAATCTTTTTAAAAAATATCATGAAGACATCACGCAGAAAAAAAACAGCCCTGTCCAAAGTACTTCTTTCGTCATGCTTACCCAGGCAAGAACTATTCACAAGCCAAGAGCAGACCACTTCTAAACTCTGATGTCTACACAGTCAGTGTTAATAAATATTGAACGTGAGCCCCACAGAAGCAAAAGGGACAAATGAAACAGAGAGAACTCCAAGAAGCCTGGGTTGTTATAGTTATTTTATGCTCCAAGACAACAAAAAGACAAAAATTGTGTAAAAGTCTTTGTCTACAACATAGACACAGAAAGGATATTTCCATGTAATATAGATAGAAGAGTAGAAAAGAGGACAGATGAGTAAAGAAATCACAGATTCCGGGCCTCCCCGGTGGTGCAGCGGTTGAGCGCTATGTTGCAAAACTGCCCGCAGCCTCTGCAGCGCTGGTTCGATCCCCGGCTGCTCCCCGGCCACCGGAGGAGGGTCCCACATGGCAAGCAGACCTCTCCTGCAGCCCACTGCTCCCCTCAGCAGTGTACTTCGGTCCTTCTGCCTACTCTGCTCCCCGCTCTGGCTCTGGTGAATTCTCTCACCCTCCCGCGCTTCTGACTGTACCCAGTGCTTGTATAAATAAATAAACAAAAAAAAACAAGAGTTCTCCTTAAAAAAAAAAAAAAATTACAGATTCTAAAGGCAGCCAGCTAGGGTTAATGGTATCACCATTTTCATCATAATCTACCCACTAATCAAGCTGCTCCAATCTCTGCTCAAGTTGCCCTCTTGGAGGGACAAGTACAGGAGCTATTGCAGCCCACTCCCCAAGCTGTGCATCAGGTTTGACCCACAGACCCAGCTGCCCAGGAGAGACTACTTCCCTCTCCTGCATTGATCCACATGTATTCCATTTAAATCTGAACACTGCAACAAATGCATTTCCAGTAGAAGAGATTTCCAGCCAAGGGTATATATACTTAATTGCACCCCTTGACTAGAATCATCAAAGCATTTTATTCCCTTAAAAAAATCTGAAAAACCATTATCCTACCCACTGAAGTGTCTCCATAGCTGGAGTCTAGAAAATAAATGAATTCAAGGGAAAGAAAGTGAACAATCTCTGACCTATTGAAGAAAGTTTCCTATCATATTCTCCATGTTTCAAAAATATTGTCCTCCTACAATTCACTTTAGTCCAAAGGAATTTCCTGAATCCCTCCTGAAAGTTATCATGTTAAGTGCTGGGGAAACAAATAGAGCTGAGAGTGCTCTCTCCTGCTGCTGACAAGCTAACAGTCTAGGAAACAAGGGGAAAAGGAGGAAGGGGCCCACACCAAGCAAAGAACATTGACATCATGTGGGCAAGAAGAAGGGTCATGGGGAACCTGACTGCTTCCTGCAAGAGATCAGTTTTGAACTGGGTATTGAGAAAAGGAGAGGCGGCGAGGCAGGGGAAGTAGAAGAGCTTACAGTGCAAGATACATAAACTACTATTACATGGCCTCTGAGAGTATTTGGAGGTGACCCTTCCCTTCCTCATATCATCCTACTTCATATCAAACTTTAAATGTTTAACGTTTCATACCTTTTTTCTACTGCTAACCTGTCATTGCTACCTCACCCTAAATAAGTCTAACTGATCCCTTCCTGAAAGCAGGTCTGATACGGAGGGAATAAATGGAGGATCCAGGGAGAACAAAGAGGCACCCATCCTTTCTTTAGAGTTCACGTCAGGATTAGCCTAGACTAACTTGATCTCAAAGGAGATTTTTTTCAGTCACGACACAATTATAGTCCTAGGACGACATGCTAATCTATGCCTAGGGTATGGACTGGCAGCCACAAAGGCAAATAGGAAGAAGAAGAGCTCTAAGAGGAGAAGAGTATTTTACAGAAACTCCCCTGTTCTCTACACGTACAATATCAGCTACTGTATATAATTAAAGAAACAAACACTCCAAAATTATAACAATTGCTTTAAATTTAATGAGTCAAAGTAATAACATCTCATTATTTATAAAGTAAATGATAAAAGAGCAGTAATTCTTTCTTGGAGAAAAACAAGGCTGTTGAAGTCTATTTTCAAATGTTCTCCTTAGTTTATAGACAGAGACGGGTGAAAGTTTATAGACAAAGTGGCCTGAAAGGCAGAAAGGTATTCATGGAATAAGTAGGTGACAGAAGCAACTGAAGCTGAGAGAAGATGGGGCTGGGTCAGTTTGTTAAAGAGGCAGGGATCTGCCCAACTGGAGACACAAATTGTTGTAACTGTGGTGGTAGTGATGGTGGTGGTGAGGGTAGAGGGGGAGGTAATAGTGATGAAAGACCTGTTGAGGAATGAGAACTGGTCAGCAGTGCCTATAACTAACCCTTAAATCCATTACTATGCTCCTGCTTATTTATACTGGGCTTTTCTATTGAGTCAAGTAATTTGAGTTCCCATACTTGTTCACTCTATTTTCCCCCCACCCTCTCCCCAACAGCATTCACCACTGGCTCATCATCAGCATTCCAAGTGTGACCCTGAGGGATTACTCCTACCATGGGCAGCTCAAATGGTCAGTCCAACCTTTCGCTTGTTTGGCTGACTACCAAGATTGCACCAATCTTAATCTTGACACTCTCTTTTGAGAGTATTTATGATCTCTGCTATAGGATTGCCAGTCTGTTCTACAGCAGGCATAGAATTGAGGTTGGTATGTGCTATAATCATTTCACCCGTAGATAAATTTAGTCCACAAAAATTCCAAAGGAAAATAGCCTTTTTAGAGGACCAATGCCTCTTCCAAGCCCCATCAGGTTCATATTAAATTTTGCTAATAACAACAACTATGCTTTATTAC